TTTTGCAGTTTTAACTAACTCTTTGAGGAACCTAAAGAAGGAAAGCCTGCTAAAGCATAAAATGGACTCTCCAAAATGACCATACACATGCTAGTTACAAATTCGAATAAAATCATGTTTTGTGAAGATGAAATAATAAACAATCTCTACCTCCAAGGTAGGGGTAAGGTCTATGTACACTCTACCCTCGTTCCTCCCCAGACCCCACTTTGTTGTTGATGAAGCTAATAAACAGAAATTTTAAACTAACAGGTTTGCAAGCAGTTCCTTCTTCGATTTTCATATAACTGGGAAGAGTCTGCTGCTGTGTCACTTGGAGAATCAACCAATGAAAATACAGCTTCTGGAATTTCTGATTTCTCAGAGTCAGCAAACACATCAGCTGATTGCACAAGTAGTTCCTTTACAATGTCTGTTGATCATCTTCCCGCCAATGTTTTACTAGATCTCTTAATATCGGGTGCTGGTGATCCAGAAGGCGGCATGCTAAGAAAGAGTATTTTTAATGAAATAGTGCAGAAATATGGTAACAATGCTTTTCACGTTGATGAAGCTTCTTCTTTGAACCAAAAAAGTGGTAATGAGGTCACACCCCAAAGTCTGAATGGAAGTCCTAGTCAAAAGAAGAAAGCTAAAACAAACCGGAAGCAAGAAGATAGCTGTATCCCAGATGCAGAATCTGGTAAAGAAGACTTGCCGGAAGCTACTCCAAAGGATATGCAAGAAAAGAGAGTTTTGGATAGACTAGTGCATAGAAGTGGTGACGATGCTCTTACCGTTAGTGAAAATTCTTGTTTGAACCAAAAAAATGGAAATCAAGTCACAAGCAGGGGTCCTTCACTGGATGAACCTCCTTCTAAAAAGAAGAAAACTGCAGCTAATTTGAGGAAAGAAGATGATAACCATGTGCCCGATGCACAATGTAGAAAAGAAGTGCTTCAGAAATGTAATGATGAGAGTGGAACAGATATTGATAAGAATAGCTCAAGTAGCATCTCTTTAACAAGAGATAAAGCTAGCTTATATAAGAAAACCAAAGTTTACCGATGCAAGAAGAAAAGAGAGATGTGCACAAAGTATCTGGACAGGGAGATTTTGGGATAGTAAACACCACTAACTCAAGTAATGGTCCATTGACAAGAAGCAGAGCTAAAAAGAAATGGTTAAAAGAACAATGTCAAGAAGGAAATTGATATCTGTGAAGGTATTATAGGAGTTTTGCTGTGCAGATTAGCTACCCGTGGATATTAATCTGGAAATTCGTCAAATCATGATGTTTATGGATTTGTCACTATGTTATTGTAGTCCACAAGGGAGAAGGTTATGTTTTTCTTGTTTTTGTTGTGGATTACATCACACCTCCTGAATTTTGTGGGTATCAAATGGTTCATACACATGATCTTTTCCGATGTTGATGCAAGTATGGACAAGACAAAGTAAGGAATAGCTGGTGGAATACTGTTCCATGTTTCTGGTGTGTGGTTTGGAGAGAAACGTGTTAGGAAAGGCAAGACACTAACAAGAATGTCAGACAGGATAGCAGCGGAATAATACCCAAATCTAAACTTTCCCTTTCAATTTGAACCAAGAGAAGACAAACCAAATCAAGCAATATGAAGAATGGACAGCAGATATATCAATCAAACTAAAGCAACAAGATAAGAATAACCCAATCACACAAGACAACGATTTACGTGGAAAACCTTTCGATGTGAAGAGTAAAAAACCACAGGACCAAAAGCTCCACTATAAACACCAAGAGTTACAAAATTGTTCTCCAAAATTGGCCACAAAACAAGTGTCAAACAACGAGCAACAACAAATCAAGATTGCACAAAAACTAGAGAATTAAAGAAGAGATTTCACCCAAAAATGCGCTACTGTTCACGCCCCAAAATCAGAAGCTACAGACCTCCAAATCCAATCTCCACCGTTGAATTGCAAGAACCAGATGCTGAGAACTCCCAGTTCAAATTTGAGCACGATCCAACGGTTAACGAAGCGGCAAACTCTGTCTGAAGCGGAGAGCAGAAAATTTCCAGAAGCAAAACGGGATTTTTTCTCTTTTTCTCTCAATCTCTAAAACGAAACTCTCTTGATTTTTCTCTCTTGTGTTTCTGAAAATAAGACCAAATAAGCCTTATATATGCCACATAATATTTTGGGTTATGGGCTAAAGTGGGCTAGTCCTAATAAGACTTTTATTTATCCACATAGGAAGGAAAAAAAATCCTAAACCCAACAACGAACTTCTTGTGTTTTGAAGAGAAGAATATTAGAGTTCATATAGTCCCTCTAAGTTTAGGAGAGGTCTGCTCACATGTACAAAAAATCAACTTTAAAGCGCCATTTTTCAGTTACTAATATGCATAAGTTTTTTTTATTCTAATTTGAAATATGAAAGGATATTATCTTTTTAAGTACTTCCATAGTTTCATTTTGTTTGACAAAAAAAATGATTACATTTGGAGTTCAAAAGAAATACTATCTTTGTTTCAATTTATGTGACATTTTTCATTTTTTGAGAGTCAAATAATTTAAGTTTGACTGGAAATTTGCGTGTGACATCTTCAATTTTTTTGAAATGAAATTTATATATTTGTAAATTAAGTAAAAACTACTATATGTCACAATAATTGACAACTCAAAATAATTAAAAGATATATGAAAAATTTACGATTAAAAATAGATTTGTTTGAATCTCAAAATTCGAAAAGTGCCACAAGGAAGTACTTAACAGTCAATTTTTTTTTAAACTAATATGTATTAGCCTGATTTACTAGTTTACACTTTCTAACTTTCGACATCATTTTGTCTAATGTTTTTCAACCTTTTATTTTTATCTTTTTGCAGCAGATAAGTTGACAAGTTAGACAACACCAAAACAGAAGTGGATCAACTTTGACTTGGAAAATAAATTACCCAAGAGAGCCTGGATATATATTTTTTATATAAATAAATGAAACAAAATTATAATCCCAAAGTTTATTTTACTAGACTAGTTGAAAAATTATATACTTTTTGCTTCTTGATTATTATGGTTCAAAAAGAAGAATAATAAAATATTTCAACATTTGTATGAATTTGTGGTAGAATTTTTGAGCTTGAACTAACAACGTTTTAATTTTAAACCTGCCTATACATTGGGCTTTCTTCAAAATTACAGCTTACAATGTTATTTAGAGATATTGACCAATATTTTTCATATAACAACGAATACACGTAGTCATTTAAAGTGCTCGATCAAGCAATGAGTTAGAATTATATATGCATAACTCACCTCCAAACAGAGGCGTATCTAAGGCTGGGCACCGGAACGGGTTGTACCGGTACCATTCCGGTCCGTTCCGGTCCGGTAGTATTCGGGACGGGATGGGATACATTGAACCGGTACACGGAACGGAACGGTACCATGATTTGGTACCGGTATACCGGTACCGGTTCATTCCGGTTCCGTTCCGGTCCGGTCCGGTACCGGTCCGGTCCCGGTAAATCATTTTTAATTAAAATAAAAAATAATATTTTTGTCATTATTTACTTTTATTAGCATTTCTTTTTTGTTTATTTAATTTTTTTCAAATTACAAACTTAAGTTATTTAACTTACAAGTTATAAGTATAACTTAATAACTTATAAACTCAAAAGATTCAAATCTTTAAAACTTATAACATAACTACATAAGCTCAAAAACTAAAAAAAAAACTTTATTAAACTTAACTTACAACTTATATATGTAAAAATTTTTAAAAAAAATCTTTAAAATAAACTTAAGTAAAATTATTATAAATTTTAAAACTTAAATACTATAAACTAATATAACTTAGAAAAATAAAAAAAACATTCGAATTTTCGTAATTCAAAATTACTCAAAAAAATAATTATTTTTTGAAATAGCTATATGTGCCATCCCGTTTATCCCGTTCCGTTCCGTTCCGGTCCGTCCCGGTTCTATCCCGGTATATAGTGGGACGGGACGGAACTGAGCCTCCATCCCGGTAATTCCGGTCCAGTTCATCCCGGTACCGGTCAACAACCCGGTCAAACCGTCCCGTTCCGATCCGGTGGTCCCATTCCGGTCCGGTGCCCAGTCTTAGGCGTATCCATGATAAGTGCATTATTATGAAAAAATGGATCTAATCAGTTTGACATTTAGATTCTTATCATTGAAAACAATTAAAATTTTAAAATTATAGATACAAAATTGAAATGCTGAATTAATTAAAACACAAAAAATGTTATCAATAACCACTTTTAGAGCTGTTACCCATCTTAAAAAGAGAAATAAGACAAGATATATATAAAAGTCAAATTTCTAACCTCACTGGAAAGTGCACCCAATCATTGTCACATTATATGATACTTCTTATGTGGGTTCACACATCTATATTTAACAAAAAATTAAAAAATATAACACTACTAGATATGATTTCGAAAGGGGAGCATGAGTTCACGTGAACCCGATGACCCCCTCCTACATACACCTCTACCTCCAAATCAGCTACCAAACGATCCCCTAGGTGGTTTCTTCCTATATATTCCATCCTTGGTAGACACCCACAATAATGTAGAAATTAATTATTAAAAAAAAATTATTTTATGTATGCGTAACTCACTTCTAAACCAATTATCAGAGGATCCTAGGTGATTCCTTCCAAGAGTCCTAACTTCAGGACACCCAATCAACTACCAAATAATCCCTTAAGTAATTATCCTTTTGGCTAGAAAATTTGATCAGAATGGTATTTTACATATATTATTTTACCTTTAGAAATATTTTTACTCTTTTAACTAAAAAATGGAAAAATAATCAATTTATTTTAAAATAAAAAATATATTATAATTTTTAAAAATTTCTAGCCAAATTTTCTGGCCATTTAACATTACCGTTTCTTTCCACGATTCTATCTATTCTAGCTTTGACGGAGTTTGTTCATTGATATACATTTTAAGAGACCAAAATACCCCTACTCTTATACTTAAAACTTAAAAGGATTATATTTCGCGCTTAAACCAGAAAACAAGCTGAATTTTCTCATTTCGATTTAGGGTTCATTCACATGGCGGAAGCAAATAGTTTCACTCTCTCTTCTTCCTTCCTCAAACAAGTACAATCTTTTTTTTAATGAATTATTGTTCACCTTAATTACATTCAATTATATACTCCGTAGAAATTCATGGATATGTTTTTTTTTAACATTTTGCAGGTTTACTTGTATGATTGGTGGTTGATTAAAGTTGAAATTGGTGATGGAAGCAAGCGATTGGGTATTGGAGGTTTCACTGCAAAAGAGTAATTTTTTTTACCCTTTACTTTAGAATGTTGCTGATTTTTTTTTTCTGTTTTGGGAAAGTCTGTTAAATAGGGATTATAAGATTTTGAGGTAGTGCAGGGAGTTGAATATACGTATTCTTGAATGAAAGTTGGAATTTTTGTTGATAAGTTAGTTAGTTATTAGGGAGTATAAGATTCTTGAGGTAGTAGTTCATCTAATTCAGGGAGTTGAAATCAGAGTAGTTGTTCGGACTCTCCAAAAATGTTGCTGCATGAGAATCCGACACACGCCCATCAATATTTTCGAAGAGTCTGAGCAATGTAGGATGTCCTTTTTTTTGTGATAATGATGTTCGAGTCAGCTTGCGTCTCGACTGTTCCAGCAGGTACCTGCTACCTTCCATGTGATAACTCTGCCAGCCAAGGCTTAGGCCTATGGAAAGAAATCATCTAGCGTTTTTTTTTTGTCTCTGTTGGGATATGAACCTAAGAACTCATGATTCTCCTCCCACTTCATTGACCACGAAGAAGAAGGTAATGGATCACATTAGAGAAAAAATATATGAATTTATTAAAGTTGGATTTGAATTTACATGCTCAGATAGTTTTTTGGATCTTTTACAGGGTGCTGGAAAGTTAGCGAGTAGTTTTAAGAGCAATGTTTTGTCCTATCAATCAATATATCAATCCATTAATCAACAATGGTCAATCCCAAATTTGTGTGGTCGGACTATGATGCCTCTTTATTGATCCCATTCTATGCTAATTCAATTCAAATATCAAATAACTTAGTGCATTTGGAGGTCTATGTAGGACGTGATTGAACCATTTCAACGACCTCTCATATTTTTTTTCCTTTTCATGTGCTACTTGTACCAGCTTTTGGGTCATTTCTAATATTTTCTATTTCTATATGACCAATTTTATTTTATTTTTGATGAAAAAGGTAATAGATTTCATTAAAGAGTACCAAAGAAGGTACAAAAAAGAGTACAACAACAACATACCCAATGTAGTCTCACAAGTGGGGTATGGGGAGGGTAGGATGTACGCAAACCTTATCTTTACCTTTATGGGGTAGAGAGGCTGTTTCCAATAGACCTTTGGCTCAAAATAAAAGTACTCGACGTGGGGTTGTAAGAAAATAAGGCAGTAAAATAGCAATATAAGGTATAGTACAAACTAAAATATTTCCTTCTATATGTTGAAGGAATGTAAAAGATCTAACATAGAGTTCATGTCCGATAAAATGTTTTTCCTTTACACCATAAGTATAGACTTTTCAAACATCTAGATTTAACATGAAGTATGTTTTCCCTTCTATCATTAAAATACCTGTTATTTCTCTCCTTCCAAACATTCCAGAAAATGCAAGTATGGGCTGCCTTCCAATATAATCTGTTCTTAGAATAATACTGGTCATCCCAGCTACTTAGAGCAAGTTTTATCAACCTGGCATAACCCATTTAACTCCCAAAATCGCTAGAAACATGTCCCAGAGTTGCCTGGTGAAAGTACAGTGGAGCGTTAAGTGATTTACTGATTCATTAGCTTTTTCACATAGAACGCATCTGCTTCATATAGTGAGACCTCTTTTCTGCAGATTGTCAAGTGTTAAACAAGCCTCATGAGTTCCAATCCAAGTGAAGCAATCAGCTCTAAGGGGTGTGATGGTCTTCCAGATTGTTCTCCACAGCCAACGACCACAGTTTCTTAATGTCGACAAAAGATTGTTATTGCATGTCTTTGCCTTAAACCTTCTATCCTTCCAATTTCTACAACACTTATTTTGTGGATATGTTGGATTTTAGAAGCACCGTATTCATTTCTATATAACACTGTTAATCTCACAAGAGGTTAATACATGCTATTATTTTAGTTAAAATTTAATCAAGACACAGATGATATGTGGATTTCAGAATTTTGGTCTGATTGTCTCTCAAGTTGCCAAACAAATTGTACTAATCTTTTCCATGTTTTATTGCATTGATCAAGTAAGAAACACGGTTCTAGTAATGTTCTTTTTGTTGGATTGTTTTCCAAGTTGCATACGAAAATGTTATTTGGAAGGTGTGGAATTTTGTCAATGATCCCATTTCCAGGACATAATTAGCATAGCACAGTTAAAAGGCCTTTCTTTGGGTTCTTTTCCATGAGATGACAGATAAAAAGTTTATTTATCTTTGCCTCTGGATGTCCCTATTGGACCACTCATATGCAAGCATATTAATTCATAACTTTGTCTTAGTTTAAAAGTGCTTTAATGGAACTAGAGTACTGTATTATTTATTTCGTGTGACAAGACATTTCTTGGAATCAAGTAATGTGATATTTTGTTTCCCTTCGTTAGGAAACCAGATGGAAGAGTTTTCCACTCCACAACAATTGCGAAGAGGCATGATACTGCCACTTTAGTGACAGTGGATGGCATCACCATTCTTCTTAGCGGTTTCATTAATAGGTGTCGAACTCTTCAAAATGGCTTCTCATCAGAGGTATTGAAGTTATTTTAGTTCTTAACTCATATGACAGCTTTATTTGCAGCTGTTTTGATGGAACATATAATTGAGGTTTACGTTAGCTAAGAAGTTTTAGAGGTTCTATTTGGTCCCATCTGTAGCATTAACTGTTGCAATCATAGTACTATCTATAGTTTGTCAATCTTGGTGGAAGACAATGTATGACTTGCACACGCATCTTGTACAAATTTTTTAACATTATTTGGTGTTTATTAATGAAACTTTTTGACTTAAAAATTCATATTACTATCCAATGGGTCCTGTCTTGTTAATTAATTTTTGCTTACCTCTTTCCAGTAATCTCCGCTCAATAATTACTTCTGACAGTCTTTCTCCAGCTATCACTCATTTTTTACAGATAAACTACAATCTTTTTCTGCTTTTGTGGTTTTAACTAGCTCCTTGAGGAACCTAAAGAAGGAAAGCCTGCTAAAGCATAAAATGGACTCTCCAAAATGAGCATACACATGTTAGTTACAAATTAGAATAAGATCATGTTTTGTGAAGATGAAATAATAAACAATCTCTACCTCCAAGGTAGGGGTAAGGTCTATGTACACTCTACCCTCGTCCCTCCCCAGACCCCACTTTGTGGAATTACACTAGGTATGTTGTTGTTGATGAAGATAATAAACAGAAATTTCAAACCAACAGGTTTGCAAGAAGTTCCTTCTTGGATTTCCATACAACTGGGAAGAGTCTGCTGCTGTGTCATTTGGAGAATCAACCAATGAAAATACAGCTTCTGGAATTTCTGATTTCTCAGAGTCAGCAAACGCATCAGCTGATTGCACAAGTAGTTCCTTTACAATGTCTGTTGATCATCTTCCCGCCAATGTTTTACGAGATCTCTTGATATCGGGTGCTGGTGATCCAGAAGGCGGCATGCTAAGAAGGAGTATTTTTAATGAAATAGTGCAGAAATATGGTAACAATGCTTTTAACGTTGATAAAGCTTCTTCTTTGAACCAAAAAAGTGGTAATCAGGTCACACCCCAAAGTCCTTCACTGAATGGAAGTCCTAGTCAAAAGAAGAAAGCTAAAACAATCCGGAAGCAAGAGGATAGCTATATACCAGATGCAAAATCTGGTAAAGAAGACTTGCCGGAAGCTACTCCAAAGGATATGCCAGAAAAGAGATTTTTGGATAGACTACTGCATAGAAGTGGTGACGATGTTCCTACCGCTGGTGAAAATTCTTGTTTGAACCAAAAAAGTGGAAATCAAGTCACAAGCAGGGGTCCTTCACTGGATGAACCTCCTTTTAAAAAGAAGAAAACTGCAGCTAATTTGAGGAAAGAAGATGATAACCATGTGCCCGATGCACAATGTAGAAAAGAAGTGCTTCAGAAATGTAATGATGAGAGTGGAACAGATATTGATAAGAATAGCTCAAGTAGCAGCCCTTTAATAAGAGATAAAGCTAGCTTATATAAGAAAACCAAAGTCCACCAGACGCAAGAAGAAAAGAGAGCTGTGCACAAAGTATCTGGACAGGGAGATTTTGGGATAGTAAACACCACTAACTCGAGTAATGGTCCATTGACAAGAAGCAGAGCTAAAAAGAAATGGTTAAAAGAACAAGGTCAAGAAGGAAATAGATATCTGTGAAGGTGTTATGGGAGTTTTGTTGTGCAGATAAGCTACCTGTGGATATTAATCTGGAAATTCCTCAAATCATAACGTTTATGGATTTGTCATTATGTTATTGTAGTCCACGACGGAGGTAAATTTTGAAGGTTATGTATTTCTTGTTTTTGTTATGGATTACATCACACCTCCTGAATTTTGTGGGTATCAAATGATTCATGCCTGGGAGTACACATGATCTTTACCGATGTTGATGCAAGTATGGACAAGACAAAGTAAGGAATAGCTGGTGGAAAACTGTTCCTTGTTTCTGGTGTGTGGTTTGGTGAGAAAGGAACTCCATGTGTTTTGAAGAGAAGCATTACAGATGATTAAGTTAGATTGTCTTTTGTTGTTTCATTTTTGGTGTAAACTGAAATCTGCTAACTAGACAGAAACTCTATTAGAGTTCATATAGTCCTTCTAAGTTTAGGAGAGGTCTTACTTTTCTTTTCTTTTTCTGCTCACATGTACAAAATTTACAGCACTCAATTTGTGTTGTTTTGTGAATACAATTACAATAATCACCTTTCGAAAAAAGCATTTCAGTTTTTTCCTTTTTGTGTTCCTCATAAGTAGATCATGGTCGTGCTAAGACCAAGTGATGTGAGGAAGATTAGTCAGTTTCTTCATGTGACAAGGTACTTCAACATAGCTGATGCTGTATTTTGGACTTTGTCAAAGTTATTGCATTATGTTTGTATATCCAGCACAGATTTTTCTCAATTTCTTTCAGCATCATTTCATCTAATGATTTTATCAACCTTCTCTCTTTTTGCAGCAGATAAGTTGACAAGGTAGACAACACTAAAACGGAGGTAAATCAAGTTGGTAAGTTCTACATGAAGTTAAATTTTGGCGTAAGAGAGGCTACATGTATGTATTATAACAAGAAATATATGTATACGGCCAAGTTGGCCTTGTTATTATTGATGAAATTATTTACTTGATAAAAAAACGAGAACATGAAATATTATATAATTGACACCAAAAGTACAGTTGCAAAGCTTATTTTTTCAGTTTTCAGTTTTCAAAATTGCATCTTACGGTATTGACTTCCATCAAAATTGCAGCTTACAATATTATTTGTCTAAATTAGATATTATTGAACAAAATTTTGTTGACCAAATCTATGATATTCTGACCCACCATATTTGGAACAGACACAATTAACAAGTCAAAAAGACTCAAAACTACATGGAAAGGACAAGAAAGTATACTAAATGTCAAAGCCATCTTGAAGAAGCAAAAGTTTCAAAGTCTCCTCTACAAATCTATATACTTGGTATATTCCTCTTCCTCATTTCTTCTTCAACCATCTGCATTTATATTAATTTTGTTCAAGTTTTCTTATACATCGAACCATTGTGAAGAAAGACATAATCCATGGGTAAATACATGGAGATGGTGGATGTAGGTGTGAGAATAGTAGCTAGGTTTCATTCTCATTGCCCTCAGACTGCTCGAATGTATTACCATCCACCCTCCAACATCCATGGCAATGCTTCAGATTTTCCTCGTCGTTGTCAAAAAGAGAAACTTGGGTTTATTGCTCATAATCAAGAGCCAAACTCTATGGAGAGTTATGGTGTCAAAACTTCCATGCATGTTGACACTGCAGACTTCATCGTTCACACGTTGGACTAAGTCCATGTATGCATGGAACTATGAATACTTACTTTTGTGAAGGATTGAAAGTGAAAATTTAATGGATTGGGATGTCAAGTTTGTGTGTTTATACGTGATGTCAGTGTATATAAGTTAAATTCTTATTTTATTGTGTGATTATTATTGTATGTATTGTTTATGACATTCTGGGTTGATTGGTTTGAAGGAATAGGAAAGAAAGAAAAAGAGAGATTAAATGAGTGATTTAAGTAAGTCATGTTTAGTAGTATATATAAAGTCGGGGGTGTCATTGTTTGTTGATCAAGTTTATGTATATATATATGGGTTTGTATGAAATGAAAATATTTAATACTTCTTTGATTTTGATGTTTTTGCGCCAAGAAAAATTTAGTAATTATTTATGGAATACGATTGATCGATTCCGTGGACCCAAAGAAGAATCTTAGCTTTTCGTGTGTATTTGATCATAAATTTTTCAGTATACAATTAATCGATTTTGTTTGAAACCAAATTTTGTTGTGCCATTTTATCTGATCTATTGAACTATACTAATTGCTTCTCTAGAGCTAAAATCACAATTTTTAAGTTTTGGGGTGATAATAGGAATTTAGAATTATCACATCTTTTAGGGTGTGTTTGGTATGAAGGAAAACATTTTAAAATGTTTTCCAATTTTCTCATGTTTGGTTGGGTTAAATGTTTTGGAAAATGTTTTCCAAATCAACTCATTTTCCTCCAATTTAAGGAAAATGACTTCCCTTCAAAACTTAAGGAAAACATTTTCCAAACTTCTCTTCCAACTTCAAATTACAATTACTTTTTTGTTGAAAAATTCAATTTATTTTGTCCCTACCCTCAACCACCCCCCTCCCAAAAAAATAATAATTTTAAAGCTTGTTTTTAGATTCAATATTTGGAATATGATTGATAGACTTTGTTTGACTTCAAATTTTGTGGGTTCATTTGTAAAATGACCTAGTGAAATACTCTTAATGCCTTTGCAAGACAGATGACACTTTTTTGGAGTTTAGGGTTTGAGGAAACAAGAACTCATGATTTTTCCAGATTTTCGTGTGTATTAGTTCACAATATTTTAAAAATATGATTGACCAAAGACCAATTCAATTTGATTCTAAATTTTGTGGTTTCATCCTTGGTTTCATACCCATTATCTCTATGGGATGAACACTATTTTTTTGGAGTTTAGGTGTCACGAAACATGAATTCAGATTATTTTTTTTAGCTTTTTGTGTAAATTAGTCTATGAATGTTTTGGAAAATGGCTGATTGACTCTGTTTGACCTCAAATTTTATGAGTCCATCTGTTATGACATAGTGAATGACATTCACAACATCTACAGGATGAATGCCACTTTTCTAGAATTTGGGGTTTTGTAAACAAAAAATCAGGATTTTTTCAAGATGAATACCATTGTTCTAAAATTTAGGATTTCACAAATTTTTCTTGTGTATTAATTCACAATTTTTTGGGAATATTATTGATCAACTTTGTTTAACCCAAATTTTGTGGGTCCTTCCATGATGACCTAGTGAACAATAATTATAGCATATACAAAATGAATGTCATTTTCTTAGTATTTTAGGGGTCACAAAATATGATACAAGAATTTTCTCAGTTTTTCGTGTTACTAGTCCATTGATATTTGGAAATATGTCTGACATACTCTGTTAGGTTTCAAATTTTGTGGGTCAATCTGTAATGATCTAATGAATAATAATCATAGCATATACAAGATGGATGCCACTTTCTTTAGAGATTGGAAGTCAAGAAATAGAAATTCTAGATTTTTTTAGTTTTTTTTTGTGTGTTAGTCCATGTATTTTGGAAACTAATTAACTGACTCTACTTGACCCATAATTTTTTATGATCATTCTTAATGACCTAGTGAACCATACTCATAGCCTTCACATGATCCACACCATTATTTTTTTTTAGCATTTAGAGGTGTGATAAAACATAAAATTTATAATTTTCTCACTTTTTCATGTGTATTAATTCATGAATTCTTGGAAATATAACTAACATTCACTATTTGAACCAATATTTCTTAGGACCATCTGTAATGACCTAGTGAACCATACCCATAACCATGATCCACACCAATTTTATTAACATTCAGAAGTCACGAAATAGGAATTCATGATATTCTCCATTTTCCGTGTGTGGTAGTCCATAAATCTTTGAAATTATGAGTGAGCGATTCTGTTTAGCTCAATATATTGTAGGACCGTCCGTAATGACATAGTAAACAATATTCATAGCCTTTACGTGATCCACAACATTTTTTTAGCATTTAGGGGTCGTAAAACTTGAATTCAATATTTTCTCAATTTTTTGTGTATTAGTCCATGATTTTTTTTGAAATATGACCGACCTGCTCTTTTTGGCCTAAGATTTTTCTGGATCATCCATAATAACCTAGGAAACCATATTTGTAGCCTCTACTTGATTCACATATGTTTTAGTATTTAGGTGTCATAAAATAAAAAATTCAGGATATTTGTAACGTTCATGAATTTTTGAAAATAATTGGCGGTCTGTTAAGCCCGATATTTTTTAGGATAATTTGTAATGACCTGTGAATCATATCCATAGCCTCCTGAAGAATCACATCAGTTTTTTTTGCTTTTAGGGATCACGATATGAGAATTTAGGATTTTCTCAATTTCGTTTGTATTAGTCTATAAATTTTTTGAAATATAACAAACCAACTTTGTTTGGCTCCAAAATTTTAAGAACCATTCGTAATATCTTAGTGAGCATACTTTATTGCCTATACGTGATCCACATTATTGTTTTTCACATTTAAGGGTCACCAAACAAAAAAAAAAATTCAACTTTTCTGTGTATTAGTGCATTAATTTTTTAGAATATGACAGATCAGGTCAGTTTGACTCAAAAAATTTAAGAACCACCAGCAATGACTTAGTGAATCATACTCATAGCCCTCTACATAATCCACATAATTTTTTTTTAGCATTTATAGAAGTCATAAAATAGAAATTTAGAATTTTCTCTATTTTTCGTGTGTATTAATTCATGATTTTTTTTGAAATATTACTGACCAACTCTGTTCGAACATAATCTATTTATGTGATTGATATCTTGATCACTGGCATAATCACTCAGCCCTTGAGGATGCAGCTTCTACGGATTGAGGTTATTCCCCGCTAGAATGGGCCAGGTGGGATGGGTGAGTAATGTGAGGCCAAAATACATATTTTTAATCATTATTTACCTTATATTTAGTATTTATATCTGTCCTTTTTTAGCCTGAATTTTATGAATTATGCTAAAAAATATATTTTATTTATAGAATTAAATTGGTGGAAAAATAAAAAAATTTGGAGCTAAAAATAATTAAAAATGAAAGATTATAAAAGTAAATTAAACAGACAACTTAATGGATTAAACTTAATATAATAATATATAA